TATTTCACAGCAGTTATATTACAAATTACAGTAAAATGTTCAAAATTTCCAGAAGTTCAAAAATTAAATAACTTACTTCAAACTAATGTAAAATGAAGTTAAAATGCAAAACATCAATTTTAACACAATTCTGAATAAAACTATAGAATCCAAAATATATCATAGTTGATGAAAGAAGTCTACTTAATCCACAAAGTAGACATACATTAACCAAACATTAGGACTCCCCGATGTCTAAATAACCCAATGTACAAGACACACAAGATGCAGGTACAAGCCCAAATTCAAGCTTATGTTGTGATTACAAACAATAAAATAAAATAATGACTATCAGCTGCAGGACCTGACATTCAGTATATTGAATGTAAAAGCCAGAGCTGACCCACCAACTTAATCAAAAATGGGAAGACAATACAAAAAAAAACCCCCAGTAATCCTATAAATACACTGGCATATGAGAAAAATCGAAAAAAACAAACAAAAATTAATCACAGGTGAGATTCAAGCTTGCAAATACTATTAACTCCACAGCCACTAACTTCACCCTAGAACAGTTCCACTACCTCCAATACAGTCCCAATGGCCTATAAAGTTTACCTCCACCTGGCTGTGCCACACTGTACTGACCCAAGAACAAGGCCTTGCACAGGAGTTTATTTGCAATTTTCACATCAGAAAACAAGGAACAGAGGTCGATTTGTACAAATCCTTGCCAGTGCTATACGGCAAAACAAAAAATAAAGATGTACAAATAGTAAACAAGTTTAGACCACATGGATAGATTAACAGCTGCTTTAACTCTATACCCACCAGGCATCTGTAAAGGAAAAAAAAAAAAAAACTGATGTAGTAATGTGGTTATTTGGGCCAGAAAGGCAGGTATAATTTTACCCAAGAAAAACACATTTAGATTGGCTAATTCTTTTCAGAAGACCTAAAATATTGAAGTTGCAACTCCTCAATTAGTAAAGTTGCACCTTTCAGTTTCCATATCAACTTTTAATGACTATTAAAAGTTATTTTAAAAAGAACTGACCTGTTGGAAGCATTTTAATGCTAGGTGTGAGCTTTAATGCTATGCGTGAGCTTATATTGGCTTGTCAAACTCACTGATGACTAAAAACTCAATTGTTTAATTCATACAGATTTAACAACATGTTAAAAATGTATGTAGTTTTACCTTTCACAAGTCCTGCTACTACCTGACAAATACTTCTCTGAATAAGTGAAACTGGAATAAATATTTTTTTTAAAAAAAATGCTGCAGCAAGAACCTGAGATTTGCAAAAAACCCTTTTACCAGAAACTTGCTACAAAAAATCTGCTACATTTTATTTAATCAAATCTTAAAGTTTGCAACAATTTCCATCAAAATACAAAATTGTTATTAATGTACCAGACAGAAAAATATCTGAAACAGGAACGATGGTAATAAATACTAAAGGAAACATGAAAAAAATCCCCATAATCAAATTTGAGAGAGCAAAGAACACCCTGTTTGAAATGTGGGGGTTTTGTTGGTTTGTTTTTTGTTATTTTTTAATCGCACTTTCTCACCAAAATATACAGTGTTTCTACATGGGTTGCATTTAGAATAGTATGACTAGATGCATACTAAGCCTTCAAACTTTTTTCTCTTAGATATTAAGAAAACAAGTGGCATTTTGGGGTAGAAAAAGGTCACACTAGAATTAGAAGGCTTAAACATAAAATACAAAGAAGCACTTTGGATTACTGCGGTATCCCAAGGCCCAAGTTTGTTCTTCTGCAGTGGCATACTACTACTAGCCAAAGAAATGGAGACAAGTACCTTAGCTTCAGCATGTAAACGGTAGCAGAGAGTGTTACAGTTCTCCGTAAACACTGTTGGTAACTAAAATAGAAAAAGCTGAGGTAGCTCAGTATCTCTGCAGTAGTCCAAGACGGTTTTCTCTAATTAAAAACAAAGCACGTGTTGCATATTTTGGAAAGACGCTCCTGCAGCTACATATAACAGTTATAATGAACGATAACATATGGTAACACCAGCCAAGCTGTCTACAACATTTTCTACTTATTTGTCTAAAACAAATCAGCCCAGGTAATGTTTTAACACTGAGCCTGTGATAAGACTTTTACTGCAACGTCCTTGCCTCTTGCAACTGCCTAGATTGTGTGTCTCCAATTTCCAAAAAGGAAGGTTTTGAACTACTGATACACTCACTATTCAGCTACAGAGAACTGCAATCCACACAGCCCAGTTCAGAGGTCCACAAATGGCCAATGATAATATAAAGTATCTTCCCCGCCCACCCCCCCCACGTTAATACTGCTATACATGGCCCAAGGTGTGGGAGCCTGGACTCAATTGTACTTACAGTGAGCTAGGGCTCCAGGACTTTTGGCTAACTGTCTCTCCTTTCTATGTCCATTCAGCAAGTCTTAGCTTTAATAAAAACAAAACTTCAGAAAGAAATTAAACATCTTTTGTTTCTAAGAACTCAAAATGGACAACAAATAAATAGAATAGTGGGAAAAAAGAATAGCCCCCTTAACGAATATTCTCTTCACTTCGTTTTCAGCAACATACGAGAGTTTCACTCTGTATTTTATTTCTATAACATAAATATACCCATAGAATAAAGGAATTTCACTGTTTTGGTAAAGTGTGTTTCTTTTTTCAGTGTGTCTTAGTTTAGTTCTGTAGAGTAAGACAGGCATTTTAGAACCATAATACTGGTTGCCATTCAATGATGAGGAAATCAAATCATCCTTTTGGAGCTCTTCATTCTGAAGACAGCTTTCTAACTCTGCCATTTGCTACAAGCCCAACCATTTGAATAGCCTTATCTTTCTCAATTGACTAAAAAGGCACATTAAAGGCAGTTCTAGAGAGCCTCATTTTCAAATTACTGTACATCCAGTTACTCAAGTTTCCTAACACAATGCATCACTGTCATCTTTGAAACAGGTTTCTGTCCATTACCCCAGAGAACAAGAAAAAAAATTGAAAAGGAAAATTTAAAAAGTTGTCCATTTAAAAAAATTCAACCTAGTTAGATCTGCTCTATCCAGTTTTTTTGTGTTTGTTGGTCTGCTCCACTGTGTCTGAAGTTTCCCAAAAGATAATGCATGTAGAGAGAACAGGAGCAGAAATGAGAGCAGTTTCTGTAGCACCAAAAATCTCCAAGTTGTGGTGTTGTATTCTTTATTTAGATCAGATACAACTGTCTGAAGTTCTGTTTGGTTCTTGTAGGCTGGTTGGTTTCAGGTACCTGAGACAATAGCACCAAATTTAACAGAAAGAGAGCGAGCACTTAAGACCAAGGCTCTGCACATACTTGGTGCAATTGGAAATCGAATGGCTCAGAAGACTGCTCTCCCATGAGCAGTTTAAGAGGATAAACCCACCCATCTCAAAGAGATCACAGGAATGTTTCAAACATATGAACTGTTCTTTCCATTTCCTGCAAGAGACACCAAGCATTAATTATATATAAATACACAGCAACAGAGATAAAGTTAAATCAGATCTACTATGATTTTTTTTAAACCTGAACAAATAATTTATAAGAAAACAGACAATTCTGTTAACCATTTCTGCTAGTGGATGGAAAACAATAAATGGGAGACTAATTAAAAAAGCATTAATGCAGAAAACAGTTTTCCTAGTTGATGGTTAATGGGAAGATGTGGGTGTATTAAGATCAGACTTCAGATAAGATAAGACTGATGCGCCTTCTATGTATTATTAAATGAGGAATGCTGAGGGGTGGACCAGAGCTGCTGCCAAGTAATACTTTTGTTTGTTGATTTAAGGTCACTCATTTATCTAAAACATGGCCACTGAAAAGTAGTAGTCTTTTTCCACATCATACAAAAATGTAAGGTTTCATACCAACCATCTACTGTCCAGTGGTTAGAAATGAATCCAGTATTTTTTAAAACCTAATCTTATAAATGGACTATAGCAAAAGACATGTTCTTCAGTCTGAAAAGCCTTTTTAAAGGAAGATATTTAAGCACTAATAGCACTTTACGTTGCTAAAACACTATGCTTACTCAAAAGTCCCAAAGTACTTTACAAACTCTTCAGATATAGGGCTTCTGAAATGCAAACATTTTGAAGGTAAAGGGTGGCAGTGACAGAGACAACTGGCTCACAGTCTGCAGGACAAGTTGGGGTGAGACACAAAGATTTTGCCCAAGGGTAGTAGGGAAAATGCCTAAACTTGCCAATCACATCATGGGATCTTTAACAACTACAGAGCCAAGAAGGCTTTCATTTTTGTGTTTTACATGAAAGCCACATACAGAAGTTAACATACAGCTTAATTTATGCACCTCGTAAGAATGAAGGGCTGAGATGAGGTTCATTTGAACCTGTAGTTCCACGTAGTCAAAATATTCCAGACCTACTACTTATATTGAAAGATCAGTAGTGCAAAGCAAGCCAAGAATTTAATCTTTACAGCACTCATATGAGATAGATATCATCAAGTATTAGTTCCATATTGCAGAAGAGATTACAGAAATTAAGTCATTCACCCAAAACCCAGAATAGTAAGTGTTAGGGCCAACAAGACTACTTGGATACTCCTGCTTCTTAATGGTATTCTAAGTTATTAGCACCTGTTTTCCCAAGCTATCAGATTCCTGTCCTTACCCTCACCCTCTAGAGAATGAGTTCATACTACTTCTCCAGTCTTATATCTGAATTTTATGGATTTTGTCATTTGCCTCCTTTATGTTCTTTAAAATAGCATTTAATGAGACAGAAACAGACACAACCCAGGATGGGTTTGATTGTTTGCAAGGGAAAAATAGGGAGATTGGGTCATACAAGAAACTAATGTTCACTGTGTTCCTTAAGCCATTATTGCACCAAGTTTCTTTTTATCTTTAGTAAATACAGTTTTCAAAAGAGGATTTCAAATGTGCACCAGTTAATACAGAAATATTGCTACCCAAATTCTATTGCAAAATTCAGATGAGAAATAAGAGAAATTGTAAAACTTTACCTCTACAAGTTGTGATTTGTCATAATCTTTACGGTGCCGATAGATGCATTGACTAAGGAGTGAGTACAGCCTCTCAAGTTGGTCAACAGTCAGGTCGTTACTTCTCTTAACCAACAAATCCAGTAGTTTCTGTTAAGAAGAAAAATATAACACAAAGAATCAAGTTTTTCATATATTCATTCTTGAAATCTGTTTGAGACTAATTATTACATTTAATTGTTTATGGACAAAGCAGAAATGTGCTAGAAGCATATTTTATATTCCAAACAAGAACATGGTTCAGTATGTAAATAATATAACTGCTGTCAACAACCTGAAGAGCAGATAACTCTTAATAGAGATCTTCTTTACATTTGTTTGTTTCAGTATGCAGAGATTCTCTAATTACTACACTTATGGAAAACATATTCACACTTGGGAGAAGCTCTCTGTAAACATTCAAAACCCTTCTTAAAAAAAACTCTCCTTTGTTGTGATGCCTACACACACAAAAAACTTGATGTGGGTGGGGAGGAAGAGAGCGGATATTAACTCCACTTCACCAATCAAACACAACCACATCATCAACCCCTGTTACCGCATAATCATGTCTGCACGAACTGCATTGGAAACACTGGACTAGACTGTTATACCATAATTATTAAAAAGCTTTTATATGTATATTTATTACTGTATCTGCAGATACAGCAGTAAGATACAAATGGGTATTTAACAATTTTGTTATGTGGTCACTAATTAAATAAAAATTGCTGGATAAAGAAAATCTTTAAAAGATAATGCTGACAGAAAAGATTATACTTTCTGCGGTATAAAATAACGGAAGTGGTCTTCACAATATTCTGTACAGAGTATAAAAATATCTTCCATGGTGTTTGAAAAGAGTTGGTACTGGTAATTATTAAATTTACTTCTCAATACCATTACCTTTAATCTGTCATGGTCAACAACTAGAGGGGGTAGAAAATCCAATGGTTCCTCTGGAACTTGCTCCAGACTTGCAGGTTTTGGGGGCTCCAAAGTGACTTTTCGAGATTTCTTAAGTTTCGATACACCTGCAGTTTGGATGCAAAATTATGGCACATGAGGAACAACTGAAAATATTAAAGTACAATATTTATTAAATGTAACACATTTCTAATAGTCTTTCAAATACGATGACCCATACAAACCCCCACTAAAACAGCTAATGGCATTTATATAGTCCATACCACCATATTATCGAGGCATTGAAATTAAGATTTGACCTTGTGTTACTACTGACAGCTGTAAATAGGACAGAATCATTTGTACACAACACCCTGGTTTTGGAAACCTGGCTGAAAATATAAGAAGATAATTAGAATTTACTATTAAAGCAGCTACCTCCCATCAAAGTCAACAGCCGATCATCTAGTCTGACCTGCTGCTTAACACAGGCCACTAATTTCTGCATCCAGCCCATAATTTCTGGTTGAAATACTGCATACTGAAGCACAATCTTTACTGAAAGACAGTGTTGGAGAATCCACCACTTTCCACAACAAGATGTTCCAATGTTTAATTACCCTCACTATTAAAAGGGTACATCTTATTTAAAGTCTGAATTTGACTAGCACCAGTTTATTCAGCTTCCAGTCACTGGTACTTGTTGTCATTGGTCTACTGTACTAATTTCTTCTCCCTTCAGTTCCCCTTGAGCCCCTCCAACATACTTCATACCGGGGCATAGCCACAGGTGGGCCTGGGTGGGCAGTGGCCCATCCACTTAGCATCCAGGCCACCCCACAGCCTCGGCTCTGTCCTGGCCCTTGCCCTGCTCTGCCCACCTATCCGGCGCTCCTGCCGGGGAGTGGAGTCAGGGCATGGAGGCTTGTCACACTCTACCAGCCGGGGAGAGGGAGTGCTTGCCCCACTTCAGCCACCTGGCGCTCCAGCCAGAGAGCAGGGTCAGGAACTTGCTAAGTTCCACCCACCTGGCGCACCTTCCGGGGCTGGGCAGGTGGATTGGGGCAAGCCTACGCATCCCAACCCCACTCTCAGGCTGGAGTGCCGGGTGGGCGGGCGGAGAGGGGCAAGCCCCTGCACTCCGACCCCACATCCAGGCTAGAGCGATGGTAGGGAGGGCAGAGTGGAGAAAGCTCCCATGGTCCCACCCCACTCCCTGGAAGGAGTGCCGGGTGGGTGGAGCAGGTGGAGGCGCAGGGGTGCCCATTTTTCCGGGGCCCCAGGTTGGCCCAGGGGCTAATCCACCACTGGGAGGAGGGCGACTGAGTGGGTATCCGGCGGCTCTAGAGGAGATCTTCAAAAACGGTAGGCCTGCCATCTGGGGGGAGCCGGGCCAGTGTGAGAAGAGAGACCTGGAAGAGAGCCGTGAGCACTGGAAAGTAGCATCTCCTCCTGGAGCTCGATGCGTGCCCGAGGCGCCCCTGGCCAGAGGGTCCATCCATTGCCCCCTGCAAAGCAGGCTGCAGGGGGTTGGGGAGAGGCAGGCCCTCCATTCCTTCTGCCTTCCCAGCCCCCCCACCCCGTAATTGCCCACCCACCCAAAGTCGTGGTCCACTCATATATCCCATGCTGGTTACTCCACTGCTTCACACCTTTGAGATCCTTTGCCATAGAACCATTCTTCGAGGCAAAAAGCTAGACAAAAGGACTGCCTTTAGAGCCAAGTCAGCATTGTTTCTTAATGGCTCAGAGGGGACAATGTTTAGTTGACTATTTTTCTGGAGTTAGAAATTTAGATACGACACAAACTGAAGCTAAAAAGGCTATAATGTACTCAACTGTCACTTGCCTATGAAGGACTAAACCTGAGAAGTGCAGAACACCAGTAACTTTCATTAGACCTCAATAGGAATTATGGATGCTCAGCATTGGGCCCTAAAGTTGTGCTTGTCAGTGGTAGCAACCTTAGTTTGTGAGATATTTTCAGTCTGATATCTGGGATTGTTCCATGGACCTTCCAACAAGCCTTAATGCTTCTTTTTTAAAGAAGCCCAGTATTTTTCAAATTTTTGTCTAAGTTCTCAGAGGAGTCTATCAAAAGTAGCTAAAAAATCGTTTGCAATGAGTTATATACTCATCTTGTTTAATTTGATTTATTAAAAAATGTTTTAAATCAGGCTTTTGAAGAACACACACTATGGAAAGTGTTGACTCATGTACTTTTTCACTCTTACTGTCACCAGACATCATGATTCAGGTCAACCAAAAGATTTCACGATATGTTAAATTCACCAAACTGTTTCAGTAGAAAAAATAATCCAAACAAGTTGAAACATTTCATATTATAGCAGTCTCGGATGATGACCCAGCACATATTGTTCATTTTAAGAACACTTTCACTTCAGATCTGACAAAATGCAAAGAAGGTCCCAATGTGAGATTTCTAAAGATAGCTACAGCACTCAACCCAAGATTTAAGAATCTGAAGTGCCTTCCAAAATCTGAGAGGGACGAGGTGTGGAGCATGCTTTCAGAAATCTTAAAAGAGCAACACTTCAATGCAGAAACTACAGAACCCGAACAAACAAAAAAGAAAATCAACCTTCTCCTGGTGGCATCTGACTCAGAAGATGAAAATGAATATGCGTCGAACCGCACTGCTTTGGATCGTTATCAAGCAGAACCCGTCATCAGCATGTAAGCATTTCTTCTGAAAAGGTGGCTGAAGCATGAAGGGACATATGAATCTTTAGAGCATCTGGCACGTAAATATCTTGGGATGCCAGCTACAACTGTGCCATGCAAACACCTGTAGTTACTTTCAGGTAACATTGTAAACAAGAAGCGGGCAGCATTATCTCCTGCAAATGTAAACAAACTTGTTTGTCTGAGTGAATGACTGAACAAGAAGCAGGACTGAGTGGACATGCAGGCTCTAAAATTTTAAATTGTTTTATTTTTGAGTGCAGTTATTTTTTTGTACATAATTCTACATTTGTAAATTCAACTTTCATGATAAAGAGATTGCCCTACATTATTTGTAATAGGTGAACTGAATAACACTTTCTTTTGTTTTTTACTGTGCAAAGTATTTTTAATCAAAATAATATAAAGTGAGCACTGTATACTTTGTATTCTATATGGCAATTGAAATCAGTATTTGAAAATGTAGAAAACATCCAAAAATATTTAAATAAATGGTATTCTATTATTCTTTAATCGCGTGATTAATAGCGAGATTAATTTTTTTAAATCGTGCGATTAATCACGATTAATTTTTGTAATCACTTGACATCCCTAATTATGGCACTAAATTGATCCTAATGTTCTTTTTCTAAATGGTCAACAACAGCATTAAACTTCTGGTTATTCAGATAGTCATATTTCGATATCAGCGTTTCATGATTTGCAATCCTAATCCGTAATGTGACCAAAGAGGAACTTTTATGACCAAAATGGTCTGGACACCCTTTCTGGTCCTTGTTATATGGGGTAGCTTTAGGAATATGCTGTCTGCACCTTTCATTAACTGTGTTCAGGACCAGAGAATTTGGTGTCAGGTGTAAAAACAAAAAACTCAGGATCCCTGGCCCAAGTGTAGTATTTTTTAATTGGCACTCTTGCAGGTAGGGTGTGCTGCTGGAATTTGGCCCTTTGGTCTTGGCTGGCTCAAGGAGAGCTTCATTAAATTGGAAGTGCCACCAGTGCTGAAGCAGAAGTATGTAATATGTCCAGACGTTAGTGATGGGAATCCTGGATTTCTTCCAAGGGAATTTGAAGCGTGTTCACTATCTGCTTCAGTAGGTCCTGGAACTGCTGAAAGTCATCAGCTAATGGTGATGGTGGAAGCATTACTCCCTAATCAGGTGATGAAGAAGAGATATTTGTACGGTGAGTGACCTCCTTGTCCACCTTCGCCCCTTGCTTCACAAAGATCTCCTTTGCTGATTCAGCATGGAGGAGAGGGATGGAAGGTACCGGAAAATGAGGTCTTTTATGCTCCTTATGAGACTGAATTGGGGACACTGAAAACTGCAGATAGTACACTGCCCATGGGTCCCAATAAGGCCAAAGAGGAGGCTCACAAGGCATGGGAGGAGGTAGCCATTGCTAATGATCCCAAGTATTAACAGGCAGAGATCTTGTATCATGCCTGCCTTCCTTCCATCTGCAGAGAATAACATCTCCTTGAGCAAATACTATTATTTGAGCAAATAAACTGGAAAGCCTTGAACAGAAAGCTCTGAGTCTGACTACAAATGCTCTTCTACATATTGTAAAGGAAGTCACAACAGTTCTTTCTGAATGGTAGAAATTGGGAAGTAGTGCGTCTCAATACAACATGCGCAGCTGGTGACTTAGCAGCTCTCAGTACTGAAAGATGTTCGGAAGTCACAAGGAGGGGAGACTCATGCTCATGAGGGTACTCCTCATGAGGGAACTCCTGTGGTACTTGGAAGATGGTACAGGCATTGAAGTTGTTCTTGATGTCACTGTCCGAGGTGATGATCATGGGTCTGAGGGTACTGCAGATTCCAGTGAGGCTGCTCTCTTACTAGCATAGGCTCTGATGACAGCCACAGTAGGAGTCTTTGATACCACACCCTTTATCAGCAAGGAATGGGACTTAGATGAAGTCCTAAGAGTGCTTCATGGTACCCAAAGTACTTGGAGCCTCAACAACACTCCTCACAGGGCCCTGAGGTCTCTGGTTCCTGAATCTTCTTTAAGAAAGAACTTTACGTTCTCCTTCACTTACCTGACCCCCCCCTCCTTTGTCTTTGAGCAGGAAGCACTCGGTACCGATGAAGCGATTATAGGTACCTCGCTGATGGAGAGTGTCAGAGACCAGGATCTCAATGCTGCCTTCACCTTGGAAGCTCTCGTAAACATGATCTCAATGTAGACAGGATATTAACGGAAGCAGAGGGCTCCTGTTCAGGGGGTTTCCTGTCCCCAGGTCTGAAGTCAGTCTTATGGCACGAACACTCTATACTTAATTGCCCTGTTTTTGTGGGATCGTCCCTTAAAACAAGTGCAAATATTCCACTTGCTGGGGATATGTGAGTCTCCCAAGCAATATGCTGAAAACATTTATCGCTGACGGGAATCACTTTTCAACAAGAGAGGCACGTTTTAAAATCTGGGGAGCCTGGTATCCCAGATACGAGAAAAAAAACCTGACACCTCAGTAAGGGAAAACACACACACAAAAATTCCCCCTGAAAAGAAGGGAATAACAGTTCCAACAACTATAAAGTACGAAGAATCTTATAAACTAACTAGAGAACTAACACTATATACTACATTCTAACTCTAAAGAGAACAACAGGCACACACTAAACTATCTCTGGTCAAACGTGGTTGAGAAAAAACTTAAGGCTGTTTACCCAGGCTGCGCTACATTGCCTTGGTACAGGGCATGGAGATGCGACGGACACATGTGCAGGCTGAACAGGCAATGTTACCAAAAATCTCCAGTCAAATTTTTCCATGGGTGAAATTTTAAAAATGTAGGGAGAAGTATGGATAAATGTGGAATTCTCACAAACCTACAGTAAGTTTAAGCCACTGAAATCGTTGGTTTAATGGTGTCACGCTCCCAGACACATTTCTGCGAAAAGTAAAGATACTTTTAAATTTTTTTCCCCCACATGTAGATAGAAGATAAAACAACAACTCTGCTGGAGGTTAGACAAGTAGATGGATATATTATTTAAAGTAAAAACTTGAGAAAAAAGTTTTAAGTTTTAAAAATAAATTATACTTTGTTTTAAAGTATATTGAATCATGTCATTTACGATACCAAAAGTTTGCTGAAGCTTTGTGCATTGAGATTTTTATAAAATGCACAGGTTCCTTTTTTTAATATATAAACATGAAGGTTCAACCAATGCATAGTATTCGTCTTCACTTTCACGATGATGTATATTTTCCTAAAAGTTAATTATGTTCTTAAAAAAAAACTGTACAGTTCAAAGGCACCTATGAAAAAGCTCAACTTCAAAACTGAGCCCTTAATTCCCAACAATAATTTTCAAGTCACTGCAGAAGTGGGTCTGTTATATCTCCTCTATAGAGCAACATCAAATTGTTTAACTTCTAAGGAAAGTGCAGATGCAAGACATTCTCCAAATCTCTCCACCTGATTAAACCAAATTTCTCATCTTTCCTTCCAAGCCCTCCCTTCTCCAACACTATACGTAAAATTTTAATATCTTTTGACACCAAAGCTTGAAATCTGTCATATTTGACTTTTCACTCCTCCTTCCACATCCAAGCATTTGCCAAATCCTAGTGGTTCTCTCTCTACAACATCTCCCAAAATTTACTCTTCTCTCTCTTTATAGCTACTGCTGATCCTGTCCTGCCATAGGTTATCTCTTGCCTCAACTATTCAACCCACCTCTCTTCTTAAAATACTGATTGTCGCTTTGGATTTCTTCAGTCTATACATAATTAAATTTCTAAAAGTATTTTCGACCCCTATTACTCAGGCCACATTGCCCCCAGTTTGAGTCCCTTCACTGGCTACCACTTGCCTTCCACATCAAGTAGAAGATTGTATTCCTAACCTACAAGGCCCTCAAAAATCCACTCCTCTTGACAAATCAGCACTTTTTCCTGTTCATCTTCTCATGTACACTGCCTTGCTCAAGTTTCTAATCTACACATACTCTTCATCTCCTATCACTTATTACTGTACCTTATTCCATGCTACTCTTTATCCTTGGAAAACACTTCCAAACCTTATACACTGAGGAATAACGACACCTATCATTTAAAAACCTTTGTTAAAACTCATTTCTTTTGCAAACCCTAACACTAACCTTTTAAAGATACATTGTTCTTGTACCTATTTATGAAACAGCTAACAAAAAAGCAGGCAAGCGAATGAACAGCTTTCACCCGCCCCCAGGAAACTGTGGGCCCTAAGGGATTGTTGTTTCTCTGCTTTTATTCACCATTATCCTTCCCACCTCTTTGTTGTCCTTTCTCTATGTCTGTCTATCTATTGATTGATTGTAAACTGTTCCCAGCAGGGATCATCACTTGGAAAGCAACATGTATACCTCAGGCAAAAAGCTTTTGTTTCAAATTTTTTACAAATATTCTACTCTTAACCTGATTTCATCAAAATCCTTCAAATTTGCAATAAGGAAATCCTGCAAGATTATGTATGTTCTATATTTTATTGAATTAAAACCGAAACAGTGACACTGTAAATGCCTAGATCAGAAAGCACGACGAACCCACAACATACTAACGTCCCATACTAACAGTGGGAGGAATCTTTAAAAAAAGATTTTTTTCGGTATCACAAAATGTTACCTGTATATTTGCAGTTTCCCCACAGAAACAATACAAAAGCATAAAGAACATTGTCAATACTAAGGTAGACTTATTTATCTAAGGAAATGTGACCAAAAATGGCATTTACTATGGCATTGTTATAAGAATATTAGATGTTCAAAATGTCCAGGCTGCAGTTCACAAAACACACTACTCACCTGCTATTGCAACAAAGTATACCCATCTACATTTACTTTTGCATTAATCTCAGTACTGGACGTACTGAAAACGTAAACCATACCTTCTTTTTCTGGTTCAATATCTTTAGTCTCAACGTCTGTGCTGCTCAGTGGTGTCTTTTCATTATTGCTGTATTGTGGTACTTCAGTATTAGACTGTTTCACCAAATCAGCTCCCTGATTTTCACCAGAAGCTTCTGTTTTTTCCTTTGGCTGATCTTCAGACACAGCTTTTTGCTCATTACGAGACAAATCACTGTCACATAGTGAAACATTAACTGGTTCTGCTTTACCATTCTGACATTCTGGAACAGCTATCCCCTCTAAGCTGTGTGCCTCACCGTTCACACAGTCCCACTTAGATGGAGACTCCTTCCTTGATTCCTTTTCAGCATTCACAGTAAGACAGTCATTTACTAACAGGGATTCATTTGAACTCTCTTCTTCTGTTGATGCAAAACTGTTTTCTTTCCCTACTGTCCCATTGTTAAGTCTCTGCTCTGCATCTATATCCATGATATCACAAGAGGACTCATCATTTGTCATAGACAGATCTCCCATTTCCTCTCCATTCTCAATGCAGTCTGTGCTGATTTCTAGCTCCCCATTCTCCAGCAGCTTCCTGCCATCCCCATGATTTTCATCATCAGCAAATTTTGCATCATCTTCATCTTTCTTCAAATTGTTGACTTTTCTCTTTTTAATAATGCCTTTACCCCACTGCGAACGTCGTCTTGATTTCCTCCTTATTCGAACTGAATTGGAAGAGACAGAAAACATGTCACTTTTAAATGCACACACATCTGCAACACATACATCAGGATAATTGACTACAAACTAACAAAAAGAAAAGGAGTACTTGTGGCACCTTAGAGACTAACAAATTTATTTGCCCATAAGCTTTTGTGATGAGCTACAGCATGAGCTACAAAAGCTTATGCTCATATAAATTTGTTAGTCTCTAAGGTGCCACAAGTACTCCTTTTCTTTTTGCAAATACAGACTAACACAGCTGTTACTCTGATACATACTAACAGACACCCACCATTCCCAAACTTTCCGGGGGGGGGGGGGGTTCAAATTAGCACTGAGCTAATTCTGCTCCCACTGAAATCAACAGAAAATGAACTCCCACTGGCTTCAATGAGAGCAGAGTCAGGCCAATGCCGATCACTTCTGAAAGTTCCACCCATCGTGGATATTTTACACTAACCAAGTATGCAGGAAGCACTGATTAAATTAATTGGTAAGGCCACTCCTTTTTCCCTCATCACATTCTTCATGAAAACCCACTTCTATTTAGACCACTAAATATCAGACAGATAATTATAGCTGTGTGATGAAGAATTTGAGGAAAGCCAATTTTTACTCCACTTTTTTTTTTTAAAACTTTTTCAGATGACTTGGAACTATTATGTTGTGCAAGAATTAAGTTGCATAACCTCATGACCTTAGTTTCATTACCCTTGTCCTCCTCCCTCCTACTGTATACTTTGTTTCAACTTAGATTGTATACTGTCTGGGATGGGGCAGTGTCTTCTAAGTGTGTATGTACACTGTGTCTAGGACAATGGGACCCCAATCTCGAAAAGGGTTTTTGCTGATTTTCCTAATAGAAACTTCAAACAATAGCTCAGGAAGAGTATTCACCTGTAATGTTGAATTTCAGTGTTCCTTGTAAGAGCACAGATGATGAGAAAAAGTGTATTTTAGTAGACTGAGCAAAGACTGGCAGATGGGAACTCCTGGATTCCAATTCCTGCTCTGATACAGATTACTTATGCTCTTTGGCAAGTTATAACCACTTTGCAAAAGATTTTCCACCTAAAAACGGGGGCTGCTACACTTAAAGTTGTCACATTGTTTCTTCTGGAGAGATACTGCCAGCACAAATCAGTATTAAGGGGAAGCTCTCTCAAAGTGACAGTCTTTCAAAATGAAAAAAACTAAGTCCATTAACTATACCTACCCACCTCACTGGGTCAGTTATGAAAATCAGTGTTCACAAAGTTGCTCTGAAGATGCTAGTACCATGTGAGTGCTGCACATTAAATGACAAGAGCTCAGAGAAACATAACTAAATGTAATGTTGTGAATGCCTTCCCTGAAAGTGCCACTTAATCTGATAATTTAACTAGTTTCAAGACTTTACTAACTACAACATTAACAAAAAATGTCATTAACTTTTTAGTTTAAAAAGTTCTTAAAAGGACACATTCACCTTGAAAAATCATAATTCTACCTGAAAAGTATATACATTCTATTGTTACGAGTAACCTCTAAGAATACTAGAGCTGAAAGAGTTCTGAGAAATTTTTGTTTTCTCCCAGCTTAGTTTGTGTATTCAACAGCACTTTCTACACAGTCAGTTTCTCTGTATTGTTAATGATCAGCTGCATTTGTATCATGCACAACTTTGGTGGAGCTCATATACACTTCTCCAGGTTCTGCAAGAAGGCCTTCACCAATTTTTCTGTCAAGGTCCAAATTCATTGGTCAAGGTATAGTCAAGGACCAGACTCCAGAGAAAATAAAAAAAAAAAAAAAAGTAGTAGTAAATAAAAAGATTTCAGAGTCCATTTAAAAGATATTCAATAGAACTGGATCCATGACAGATCCCTGCGGGACCCCACTCAATATGCTCTTCCACCTCTATTGCAAACCATTGTTAACGACTCAGTTTTCCAGCAAGTTGTACACCCACCTTATAGTAGGTTCCTCTAGATCAGTGGTTCTCAACCAGGGATCAGGGGCCCCCGTAGGGGGCTGCAAGCAGGTTTCAGAGGGTCCGCCACGCAGGACCAGTGTTAGACTCGCTGGGACCCAAGGCAGAGAGCCAAAGCCTCACCGCATACGCCTGAAGCCCAGGGCCCAGATCCCTGTCACCTAGGGCTGAAGCCGAAGCCTCAGCAATGTAGCTTTGTGGGGGCCCCTGTGGCATGGGATCCCAGACAATTGCCCTGGCTTTTATATGCAGAAAAACAGTTGTAGCACAGGTGGGCCATGCAGTTTTTATAGTACGTTGGGGTAGGCCTCAGAAAGAAAAATTTGAGAACCCTGATCTAGGGTGTATTTCTCTAGTTTATGAGACACTCATGTGAGACTGTACCAAAAGCCTTACTAAGGTGGAGATATGAGACATCTACTTCGTCTTTTCATCCACAAGGCTTGTTACCTTGTCAAAGAAGGATATTGGGTTGGTTTAACAGGATTTGTTCTTGACAAATCCATGTTGACTGTTATTTATTACCTAATTTTCTTCTAGGTGCTTACAAATTGATTGTTTGATTATTTTCTTCATAATCTTTCTGGGCATCCAGGTTAAGCTGATTGGTCTATAATTCCCTGAATTGTCTTTACTCACCTTTTTATAGATAAATACCATAAATACTTTTCCTTGACTTTAGCAAAGCTTTTGACACAGTCTCCCACATTATTCTTGCCAGCAAGTTAAAGAAGTATGGGCTGGATGAATGGATTATAAGGTGGATAGAAAGTTGGCTAGATTGTCGGGCTCAACGGGTCATGATCAATGGCTCCATGTCTAGTTGGCAGCTGGTATCAAGTGGAGTGCCCCAAGGGTCCGTCCTCAGGCCGGTTTTGTTCAGTATCTTCATAAATGATCTGGAGGATGGTGTGGATTACACTCTCAGCAAGTTTGCAGATGACACTAAACTGGGAGGAGAGGTAGATACACTGGAGGGTAGGGATAGGATACAGAGGGACCTGGACAAATTAGAGGATTGGGCCAAAAGAAATCTGATGAGGTTCAACAAGGACAAGTGTAGAATCCTGCACTTAGGAAGGAAGAATCCCATGCACCGCTACAGACTAGGGACCGAATGGCTAGGCAGCAGTTCTGCAGAAAAGGACATAGGGGTTACAGTGGACAAGAAGCTGGATATGAGTCAACAGTGTGCCCTTGTTGCCAAGAAGGCTAACGGCATTTTGGGAGGTATAAGTAGGAGCGTTGCCAGCAGATCGAGGGACGTAATTGTCCCCCTCTATTCGACATTGGTGAGGCCTCATCTGGAGTACTGTGTCCCGTTTTGGGCCCCACACTACAAGAAGGATGTGGAAAAATTGGAAAGCGTTCAGCAGAGGGCAACAAACATGATTAGGGGACTGGAACACATGACTTATGAGGAGAGGCTGAGGGAACTGGGATTGTTTAGTCTGCGGAAGAGAAGAATGAGGGGGGATTTGATAGCTGCTTTCAACTACCTGAAAGGGGGTTCCAAAAAGAGGATGGATCTAGACTGTTCTCAGTGGTAGCTGATGACAGAACAAGGAGTAATGGTCTCAAGTTGCAGTGGGGGAGGTTTAGGTTGGATATTAGGACAAACTTTTTCACTAGGAGGGTGGTGAAACACTGGAATGCGTTACCTAGGGAGGTGGTGGAATCTCCTTCCTTTGAAGTTTTTAAGGTCAGACTTGAGAAAGCCCTGGCTGGGATGATTTAGTTGGGGATTGGTCCTGCTTTGAGCAGGGGGTTGGACTAGATGACCTCCTGAGGTGCCTTCCAACCCTGATATTCTATGATATTTGCCCTTTTCCAGTACTGGGATACCTCTCCCATCTTTCATAAATTCTCATATAATTGCTAATGGCTCAGAGATCTCTTCAGCCAGTTTCTTAAATATTCTAGGATGTATTTCATCAGACCTTGCTGACTTGAAGACATCTAACTTGTGAAAGTAATTCTTTACTACTTCTTTTCCTATTTTAGCATCAGATCCCACCCCTTTTATACTTATGGCTCATTATGTTAGTCCAATCACTGCTAATTTTTTTGGTGAAAACTGAAGCAAAAAAAGACATTTAATACTTCAGACATTGCTGCATTTTCTGTTATTGCCTTTCCCTCCAATTACTGAATGAGGTCTACCCTGTCCATGGTTTTCCTCTTGCATCTCATGTATCTGTTAAAATGCTTTCTTGTTCCCCTTCACATTCATAGCTAGTTTAACTTTATTTTGTGCCTTGCTCTTTCTAATTTTGTCCCTGCATGCCTGTGTTATTTTTTTTATATTCATCCCTTCGTAATTTGACCTAATTGCCACTTCTTGTGTGATTCTTTTTTGAATTTCAGATCACTGAAGATCTCCTGGTTAAGCCAGGGTGACCTCTTACCATACTTCCTATCTCTCATATTCATTGGGATAGTTTGCTTTGTGCCCTTAATAATTTATCTTCTAAAAAAACCCTGCCAACTCTCCTTTCCGTTAGGCTTGCTTCCCACAGGATCTTACCTACCAATTCTCTGAGTTTGCTGAAGTCTGCCTTCTTGAAATCCATTGTTTTTATTCTGTTTTCCCTCCTCCCATTCCTTAGAATCATGAACTCGTGATCACTTTTACCCAAGTTGCCTTCCACTTTCAAACTCTCAACCAGTGCCTCCCTATTTGTCAAAATGAAATCTAGAACAGCTCCTCCCCCTAGACGCTTTCTCTAATGTCTGAAATAAAAAATTGTCCCAATGCACTCCAAGAACTTGCTGGGTAATCTGTGACCTGCTGTATTATTTTCCCAACAGATCTCTGGGTAGTTCAAGTCCCCATCACCCCCAAGACCTATGCTTTAGATGATTTTGTTAGCTGTTTAAAAAAGCCTCATCCACCTCTTATTCCTCATTAGGTGGTCTGTAATAGACCCCTACCATGACATCACCTTTGTTTTTTTACTCCTTTTATCCTTACCCAAAGACTTTCAACAAATCTGTCTCCAATTTCCATCTCAACATCAAGGTAAGACC